AAAAGAATTGCTAAGCCAGTTTTACTGGATAACTAGAAGGGAAAGAGCAAGTGAGTTGGAAGAGGCTTTTATGACTCCGAGCAAAAGATAAATTCACCTCAAACAAAAGATGTTTTTACCAAGCAAAAAGATTTTTACAGGCAAACAAAAATGCCATGTTGCAAGTAGAAAGAAAGATCTCAAATTTTTCCACTATGAGGAAACTGAAAAACAACTTCTAGCTTCAACTGTAACACACTGACCTTTTGTGATTGGAAGAGTGTAACATGAATATGGTAATGTTGGTAGTTATGATAGGCTGTAGGTGATAGTAAAGGTATTGATTGGTTGTCAATGTTTTAAGATGCTCTGTAATGAAAAGTCTAGAATGCATTGAAACCAGAACTAGAGAGGCTTCAAACGAACCCAGAGCTGTGGCTGAAAAGGCTGTGGGCTGGGCTCCTGTCACCCATGGCCTGTGAATTGCTGAATCCTCTGGATACAATAAACAGCATTTTAAAGACCCAGTCTGGAGTCCTGCATTTGGGCTCTTACACTTCATATTGAGAGGAATGAGAGATTTGTCTTTACAAACCAGCTGTGGGTCTGCTGGTAGATAAAACCAGCACTGAGAGATAAAAGAAACTTTGGGAAGGATTCCACTGATTGATGAAGGGAAAAAGATATTTGCCTTTACAAACAAACTGTAGGTTTGCTGAGAAATGAAACTGGATATTGAGAGGGGAAAGCAGCAATGAGGAAAAGCCATGAATACCATAAGAATTAAAAATGAAAAGGGAGGGTTGTACATTAGAGGGGACTCTCAGGTATCAGGTGTTCTGGGAAGTCTGTGCCTCTCAAGTACCTGAGGCATTGAGCAATTTGAGGTATTTGAGAAATTTTACCAAATGGGGAAAGAGAGAGGGAAATGCAGATGGGAAATTGGGACAAAAAGGAGGCTGCATCCTCCAAAAATTTGAGAGATCCCAGGGGAATGCCCCATGGCCTCTCCTTTATTCGAATAAAGCAAAAAGGACTCCTCTGTCTCCTTTTTGGACATAAACCTCTGCTGTTTGTGGATTAATTTTCCTGACAATTGCAACAGCAGACTTGGGAAATGCATGAGGAATATCAGCCTAACTCCCAGTTATCCTCCCTGCTGTTTACACTACATGCAATGTAACACTGGAAATGTGACAAATCCATAGTATTAATTACTATTAATACTGGCAGAATAAGTCAGAGTAATTTATTCTATATAGAAACAGCTAAATATATTTAATATGCTTAAATATCACAGCTAAAAGAACATTCATCATGTAGCAGGTTTTCCAGGGTTTGTGTGACTTGTTGAACACAAATAAATACATTTAATTTATAAAACACTTCTGTAGGTCGCCTTTTAGACTGGTGTGTTTTCAAACACTTGGATACATGCAAAAATTCAATTCTCTTTAATTAACCATCTGTTCAGTCTCCTGCTCTTCATGATGTAGCTGCTGAGAAAATCAGTTTCACAAGCTAGCTGAAATTTTAGTAGTTAATACATAGCTTTTAGAAATTATTATTTCACTGAAAATATACCACCTGCTGTTAATGATATCATTAAATGAAGAATGGCAACATCTTGGTTTTTTTTTCCCTAATAAACACTTGGCCCAAATTCAAATCAAAGCACCCTCATACCTGGATGATTTTGGAGAGTTCATCGAAGGAGTTCTTGCAGTCCCCACAGTACTCCTGGGCTAACTGCAGGATGTACCTGTTCACACTGGCTGAGGTAGAACTGATCCCTCCACTGCTGCCCGACTCATCCTGGAGCAGGGGAAAGCCAAGAGCAATCACAAATGGAGGCTCCACACAAAAACACCAACTGCACAGCAGCCCCTGAGGCACGGGCTGCCCTGGGCAGGGCCAAGGCCAGCGTGTCCCCAGCCTGGACGTTCTGTGCAAGCTGCACCTGGCCCTCCTTACCTGGGGTTTTTCAGGGGCTGCCTCGTTCACTTTGCACAGGAGGTTCTCCAGCTGTGGTCGGTGTCCCATCAGCTGGTGGTACACCCTGTCAGCCTTGTCCAGCAGAGTGTTGATGTTTGTCACTGCCTACCAAGGGAAAAGGAGAGGAAACTCTTATTTCATTCAGAACTACAACCACCAAGCTCCAAGCCTTCTCTTTTGCCTTTCTTTGGGGGAAATCACTAAATGGTGACCCTGCAGCCTGGTTCTGCCCTGAGAAGCACTCTGGTGACACTACTGAGCACACCCTGTGACACTACACTGTGCACACTGATCCTCTGGGACAGGACACAGAGGGTTCTTCATTCATTAGCAGGGCTCCTCAGGTGAGATGGGAAGCAAACAGAACAACCCAAATCCATCCCAAAGAGATGCAGCCAGTTGATAAGTGAGGCACTGAATGATGTCTTTTGTCTGGTGGAGCAAGACACAAACCCAGAATGCATCAGTCAGTGAGGAGCCTTGAAGGAGCACTGATTTGGACAGGGGATGGACCCCTGCTGTCCCCACAAGAGGGGATGGACCCCTGCTGTCCCCACAATGGCCCAGAGCTCCATTATCCCCCCTGCCCCTGCTGCCAGCCTCACCTTCTTGCGATCCTCCTCGTTCTCGATGGGGTCCACAGCACAGCAGGGCTTGGCATAGAGCATGAAGTCAAATCGAGCATATTTACAGAAACCACAGGCATTGCACAGGAAAGGATCCTTCTCATCATAATTGATGGACCTGAAAGGCAAGGCAGCAGCTCCAAACCTGCAGCTCAAGGCAACTGAGACAATGAAACAACCTGAAAGGACTCAGATGAAAGAGGTGGGTGACTCTTAAAACATCTCGGTGACTGGACTGCCCTGGGGAAGGGAAATACTTGAAAATCAAAACCTACAGATCAGGCAACAAAAAATCCTTACAGCAGTGCCACATTCTTGCTGGAAAAAGCAGGAACAGAACTTTAATGACAGTAATTCCCAGTAGAAAGTCAGGCTGCAGCACTGTGTCCTTTAGGAGAACACAGATAAAGGAACTGTTCTGGTTTGTAGGGTCTGGGCTTTGCAGTGGGGCTGACTGCAGCACTTCTTATCCCCACTGCAGACCAGGGTAGCAGACAGAACTGATTTATAGCTCCCAGAACTCCAGAAGGGACATGGAAACCTTTCTACACACCAGCAATGGAAAGAGCCTGCTAAACACCTCGAATCCCATGAGAATTAGAGAGGAATATGGGACAACAACAGGGGAAAGAGATATCAGATAAGGAGACAAAAGTGACAAAAGAGAAGGATTTCTAAGGCTGTAGTGAAAGTGTGAATAGCACACAGTAAATTACCCCCGAGCCTGCTCTGAATGAGGCAGCACAACAAAAGCCATGAATAGAACTGTGTGTCCAGCCCCAGCCAGGGATCCTGGGGGAAGCCCTGCAATCCCACAGCTGAACTCCAGCCTCCAGCCCAGGCAGGCCAAAAATAACCTGGGAATTCTGTGGTGTGAACTTCCAGGGCTTGATGTGAAACTTCAGCTCGCTGAGAACTGTGCTCCCAGGCTCCCTTTGTTAGGCTGCATTACATTAAATCCCTGTAAGCCTGTTTTATACTTCCCCACTAATTTGATTGTGTGCTTGTATTAACCAGAATGGGGGATTTACATGGCAGGGAGTGTGGGGCACCCAGGAGGGCTCTGGGGGACACACACACACACCTGCACTTGTGGCACTGCTACATACTCTGGGGACACTGGAGACACACAGTGACTCTGGGAAGACTGCACATGTGGCACTGGCAGACGTTCTGGGGACACTGGGGACACACACAGACCTGCACTTGTGGCACTGGTACACGTTCTGGGGACACTGGGGACACACACAGTGACTCTGGGGACACACACAGTGACTCTGGGGACACTGGGGACACACATAGTGACTCTGGGGACACTGGGGACACACACAGTGACTCTGGGGACACTGGGGACACACACAGTGACTCTGGGGACACACACAGACCTGCACTTGTGGCACTGGTAGACGTTCTCGCCGCAGTTGCCGCACACGCCGGGGTTGGCGGGCACCGAGGCGCTGCAGCGCGGGCACTGCAGGGTCTCTGTGGACGCCTGGTAGTTCTCGTAGAAATCAGCGAACTCGATCATCAGGTTGGAGGCCACGATGGGCAGGGGCAGATCGATCTTCACCTCTGTCTGTCCCGGTGTCAGCTGCACCTTCTTGGCCTTGTGCCAGCGTGCTGGCCTAGAGCAGGGACAGAAGGGAAGGAAGGGAAGAAAAGGAAAGGAAAGGAAAGGCAAGGAAGCTTTTCCAGAGGGAAGTTCCCTCCCCGCCCACGTGTGAGGAGAAGCCAAATGAAACCGTCTCGGCTCCAAATCTCCTTTAACTGGGATGAATGGAGAGCAGTTCTAGGATTCGTTTCCTTAGCTTCTGTATTGACATGATATGTAGCCAGAAATACATTTTAAGCCTTTATCCTCTTCATAGAGAGAGACTGTTTGGGATTAAAGAGCTGTTGATGCCTCATGGAAAAACTTTAATTCTACAGACATTTTCTAGGGATTTTCACCTCCATTTTTTTATTAGTAAGGACATTTGCATGAAAACAGGATATTTATTTCTTAAAGATCTCATCTGCTCCCACTGCTTATTCTCAACCTGAAGTCAGAATCCTCTCTTTGTGACATCATAATCCTCTCCACAGCAGCCACTTGTGATGTCACAGAGGATTAAGACTTCAAATAAGCAATAAGCGGCAGGCACAGATTAATCCCTAAGCCAGAGAGATCTGATTCTGGTGAGAACATCTCAAGAAGTAAGAAAGGGAAGCACATAAGCAGGACTGGCTCCAGACTGAGCAGTGTGTTGAAAAGGAGCCATTTCTGGTAGGTAAAGCAGAGCTCAGAGTGAGACCATCCAACTTCTAATTTTAATTCTACTCTATGGCTTCAAACAAACAATGTTAATGCTTTCAGCATTCCTGGACATGCTGCAAAGTCCAAATCCCTTTTGGAGTCAAACTACCCATGAAGTGCTCTCTGTATTACTACTGGTTCCCACACAATTAAGTCAGGTGCTTAAAAGCAGCCTAGACAAAGTTGGAATCCACCAATTTTATAGACATTTTTCAAGCTTCAGAGAAAATCTGGATCTTTGCTTCAACAATTGTAGGGGATTCAGAACAATTGTACCCAATGTGGGCTGAGAGTGCAGAGTAATGAGGAGGAACCTTGGGGTAAAACAAGAAGCCAAGGGAACAAATCAGATTCAGAGATTGCACAGGAAACTTGATGGACATACTTGTTCTTCAGCTCCACGATGGCCTGCACGGTCCTGTTGTTGTAGTAGAGGTTGATGGTTCGCACCATCTTGGTTCTTTTCAGGTCTCCAATCTTCACTGTCACCTTGCTGATGGTGTGGCTGCCAATGAGCTTCACCACCTGCTGCGTGGTCGTGTAGCGTGTGTCCACTTTGATGGACGAGAGCTTGATGTACTGGGGAGACAAAGCAGGACACACTGCCTGTCTGAATCCCAAAAAACCTCAGAGACACAGAACACCACACCTGTAATGGTTTGGGATCCCTGACGTACTGGGGAGACAAAGCAGGAATACACTGCCTGTCTGAGGGCATCCCAAAACCTCAGGGGCACAGGAAACCACACCTGCAATGGGTTGGGATCCCCACCACTGGAAAGGATTTAATAACAGCTACTGCTGGTGTCATGCAGAGCAGCTGGAGTTGTGCCAGAGAGGGTCAGGCAGAGATCCGGAAAGGTTCTTCCCCCAGAGGGTGCTGGGCACTGCCCCAGGGAATGGGCACAGCCCCAAGGCTGCCAGAGCTCCAGGAGTGTTTGGACACCACTCCCAGAGATGCCCAGGGTGGGACTGTTGGGATGTGCTGTGCAGAACCAGGGTTGGATTTGATCCTTGTGGGCCCTTTCCACCTCAGGATATTCCATGACTGTGTGATTCCAGGGTTACTTACACAGAAGGGCACCTCGGGGTTGTTGCAGACAAGGCAAGGATCACTCTCCAGGTAGTAGCCATCAAATTCCACTAGCCCAGACAACGTGCTGGAATGAGGGAACAACACTGACACATGGACCTGGGCATTTGCAGCTTTAAACCCAGGCCATTCAACCAGAATCACTTTAATTTCCCCCAGTTTCAATGTGTAACAGAATTGTTACAATATAATCACACTGCAAATAACAGGTTTTAACTAAGCAGCACTGTTACTGTAATTATCAATGGCCAAGGTGGGACCAAGAACACAACACTTAAAACCACAAACCTCTATTCTCCAGCTGGGCCTAAGATTGTATAGCATTTACTGACAGTGAAAGCAGAAGGGCTCAAGCCAAGCTCTGCTGGTAGGGCACAATGCCAGGTCTCCATGTGGCAGAAAGGATTCTGGGCTCTCCCAAGCCCAGCAGGCACAGAACCTCAGCCCATCCCCACCACCATGCCAGCAGCAGAGCTGGGTACTCCCCCGGGGATGGAGCTCACTGGAAAGCCCTGCAGTGACAGGGATCAAAGGCAGAAGTGACTCACTTGTAAATGTTGGAGTTGGGGTGGTTGGTGAGAATGTGGTTTTGAGTCCGGAGGATCTCCACGGCCTTTTGGGAATATTCCTTCAGCTGAAATACAACCAAGAAAAGACAGCCCTCAAAACAGTGCTTTTATTGCTACACAGACACAAATACCCCTCATCTTGTGGTGTTCCAGGTCCCCAAGAAGAGGCACACACCACACCCACAGGAATTTATGTGTTTAAATCATTACCCAGGACTGTAATCGATCCTAAAATTTGAGATTTACACAGTAAGTGTTGTCAGTCAATCCCTGCAAATACCTGCCAAGATTTGTATGGCATGCCCCACTCTTTAAACACACTCATGCAAGTATCAATGGGTCTAAATTATTTGTTCTCAATCCCACAGATCCCCTAGAAGAGGCCACCACTTCCTTTGTTGAAAGATCATGGCTACAAAAGATTTCTAAGAGTTGCAACATCAAAAATCTATAAAATGGTGCTGTCAGATCCACAAAAACCTCCAGTGAGAACAAAGTATTTTTCTCAATAAATGAAAAACTCGCCAGCACAATTTCACCCCCAAAACAACAGAACAGAATTCCACACTTCCAAATCTTTTAAGGATCTTGCTTTTTTTAACATTAAGTTCTAGAAACATGAAAAATTCCCACTAGAAGCTCTTCTGAGAGAAAATCTGTCCTAGCTGTATTATAAATGAGCACCTGGGATGCTGTACCTCCCTTCTGAAATGCCACTGTACCTTTTTCTCTGTCTGCTGTGTTTTCAGGGAGAAGTATCCCAGGAGATCTACAAACTGGGCAGCCTTTCTTCCATAGGCTGGGAGTTCTGGCCAGATGGACCACATGAGATCCAGCAGTAACTCCTGCTGGGACTTGTTGGAGTTCCTGTTGAGTGGATTACAGACAATCAGGGTCCTGAATCTTGTGCAGAAGGAGAACATAAGCTCCAGTCCACCAAACTGGGAAACCATCTTGCAGAGTTCACAGAGCTAAATCCCACCATCCCTTGAACCCAGCTGTTTTCCAGCACTCCAAAACAAAAGCAGCTGTCCTGCAAGAACTGAAGAGTTCTGAAGGAGTCCAGCCCCCCAAAGTGCTCCTTTCCCCATACAACTCCTGACTTTTCATGGTGTGAGTCTGGATCTGCCTCAGGAATTCACTTTGCCCACAAACACCTGCTCCTGGCCATGACAAGAGTCAGACTTTGCAGACAGAAATAAAATGAATGCTCCTTGCAGGTGACAACTGAGATTGATCATGGCTAAGTCACAACTTCCACCTCCAGCCCCAGTAACTGCAGACCAGTGAGGGCCAGCACCTGCAGGCTCCAGCATCCTTCAGAGAGAGGCTCTGGCACTGCCCCAGCCCCAGGCTCACCTGTAGATGTGCAGGGCCAGGCAGTGGGCCTGCCACCTCACTGAGGAGGAGTTGGATTCCAGCAGGAAGCAGCGCAGGAACTGGATGAGGGTCTCTTTGTCAGCAAACTTGTTCAGTTGGTTCACCAGGGCCGTGCACAGCTGGTCCTCCTGACTGCCTGAACCCTCACCTAGGGACACAGGGAAGGCTTTAGGGAGAAGATAAATGCAGCACCTCACAAGCAGCCACTCTCCTATTTCAAAGAGTCATGATAATGGGGACAAATTATTATGTTTCAGGTAACAACAAAGTTTAACATTCTTGTCTTTTTCAAAAATATAACCCAGTACTCCTGACTAACAGGAAAAAAACTGCAGGAAAACTTGCCAGTGAGGACGTGAGAAATGTGCTACACATCCTGATAAAAAGAAAAGGATTGACCATGAGGCAATGAAAAGACTCACAGGGAACCATCTGATGGTGAAAGCCAAAGCGGTTCCTTGAAGAAAAGCCAAGAGAGAATTTATGCCCATGACTTTTATAGGGAAGCTTAATTACTTTCCCAGGACTGTGGATATTCATTAAGCAGCAGCCCTGGCTCCAGCAGAGCTTCCAAGGCAGCTAGAGGAAACAAGTCTGAACACAATCACTGCAGAGCAGAGCTAACTGGGTGTGCATCCACAGGATTTGTTTTAATCCTCATGAGCATTTCAGCCTCCTACAACCCAGGACAGGCAAGTTAAGTGGAAGCTGCTTCATCACTAGATTAGGTAACACCATTAGACAACTTCAAACCCACTCAAGGCAATAAGCACAGCGGTTTGGGATGTCCTCAGCACGTGATTTCAGCCCAACTCTCAGGACACACTGCTTCACCTTAGTCCCATCTACACATGGGAAAACTGTTTCTCTCTCCTGACTCTCTGGGTGCCCTTGCCACAAGCCATGACCCTTTCCCAGCACCAGGATTTATCATTCAGTTCTTTCTAAACAGAGTAAGAAAGGCTGTGAGGAGCAGAACTGCTCCCTAAAACCACAGGCCAGGGCCCAGCTGCCCCTCACCCTCTCGCTCCTTCTCCTTTTCCTCCTTCTTGCTCTTTTTGGTGGAGGATTTGCTCTGCGCTGCTGCCTGCCCAGAGCCTGATGCTGCAGGAGCAGAGGTGGAAGAGGTGCTCGAAGCTCCAGAGGATGAAGCCACAGACAGCACTTTGCTGCCACACAGAGCACAAGACAGCAGCTGCAGGAGAACCGGGGAGACTCCTTCGTCTACCAGGAAGCTGACTTGGAGCAGGAAATAGAGAACAGCTGCGGAGGAAAGGAGAAAATGTTTGAATCACACAATCCTGGAATACCCTGAGTTGGAAAAGACCCACAGGGATTGAATCCAACCCTGGCCCTGCACAGACACTCCAACAATCCCACCCTGTGCATCCCTGCTGTCTGAATGCTCCTGGAGCTCTGGCAGCCTCGGGGCTGTGCCCATTCCCTGTGGAGCCTGGGCAGTGCCCAGCATCCTCTGGGGGAAGAACCTTCCCTGACATCCAACCTAACCCTGCCCTGACACAGCTCCATGCCACTAAAACCTGAATTAAAAAAGGAAAGAAACAAAAAAAAAGAAAAAACCCACCCAACCTAAACCAAAGCCTTTGTACACAAGAACCAAACTCCCAGAACTGTCCTATCCCTGCACCACAGGAGCCTCACACTGGGGTACACCAGGTACAGTGGCTCATCCCCAATTACTCTCTGGGACAACGGCAGCACAAGCAAGAGAACACAGATCTCCTGTTCCTCTAAGTTATCCATTACATCATATTTTGCTCTTTAGCCAAGGAGCAGATGCAATTAGGGCACTGGGATAATTAGGACTGGAAACAGTTCAGTCCTACCAAAACCCTCAGCTGTGTCTCCCCTTCTCTGCTGGGCTTCCCCACCCAAGATCCCAACCTCGACACCACTGCTCCCCTAAACCCTGCAGAGACAGAACTCACAGTCATCCTTGATGCAGAATTTCTGCCAGTTCACTGTTCTCTGTGTGGCAATCTCTGCACAAGCCTTCAGATGTTCCATCTGCAGGCACAAAGGGATGGGATCAAACAGCACATCAGCATTCCTGGCACACCGATGCCACTCCAAGGCCCTTTCCCTGCTCCTTCCCTTACCAGGGAGATGAGGGTGTCGTACTGCAGGGCAGAGCCCGAGCTGGCTGTCACCACACTGGCCCTGAGGAAGATTCCCTGCTCCTCCAGCAGCTTTTTGATGCCCCTGACGTGCGAGTCCAGGGTGTGCAGGTCCCGCAGCTGCCGGTATTTGTCCTTGGAGCCGCAGATGAAGAGCAGCAGCTTGCGCACCTGGCGGCGCACGAACGGCGTCTGCTGGATCATCAGGTACTGCACACACAAGCAGGGCACTGTGAGCTCACCAGGGCCACAGGGGCCAGCAAAAATGAACGTTTTCTTCCAAAAACAAAACAGATGGGGAATGTGTTCACCCAGCTTTAAATCCAGAAATGCAGAAGAAACACTGCACAGCAGCACTGCAGCACTCACTGGAAACCATCCTTTGTCATGTCCAACCTCAAACAAGCACCCAACCAAGGCTAATTAAGAAATCTTAACTCATCCTTGTGTAAATGTAAGATAACTTGTTATGTAAAGCAAACTGAGAAGACAAACTCTAAATATCTTCCTGATTTCTTTTTTAAGGCCCAAGTACCAACAGCTGAGAATGCTGATACATTTTTCCATCTCACAGTAGGTTTTCTCTCTAAGCTTTGTGGCAGCAACCACTTAATTCCAAGAAATAACAGCAACCTCAATTTCATGTGTATTTTCCTACAGATTCCTGTTCAACAGCAACACACAAAGTCAAGAGCTCACCTTCTTACAAGGGGATTAAAAATACAAGATGGAGCTGAGATCAGCTCTGCAAAAGCTCATCTCTCCCATGAAAGAAATCACTATTGGAGTTTTCTTGTGGAAATCTGCAGGTGTATCATGCTCCTGCTTACCTCAGACAAAAAGTAGAACCAGGAGTGATCAAAGATGGGTGGGGGGATGCGGGAGTTTGTGTCTGCAATCTTCTTGATCTGGTAGGGCAGGCGCAGCACCATCTCTGTCAGGAGCTGAGTGTAGGCCTCAAAAACATCTGCAGCATGACCCTGGCAGCAAGAGAAATCCCTCAGGCTCTGAGCACACCCAGCGTGGTATCACAATGAATGAGAGGGTGCTTTTGCTGATTTTTTAAAAACAAGGGATTTCTGCCCCTTTGCAGTCCAAAGAATGTTCCCAAACGATGAATAAAAATCTGCACAAGGCCTTGAACTGGGTGGCAGCTGTGAAGATGCACTAAGCTAGTCTGGAGTAATAAACCAGTTCAGTTTAGGAGCTTTCAGCTTAGGAGATATTCTTACGTTTATTCAGGCTTTTTGCACTGCACCTGTACAAACACCAAACCATGGCATAATGGCACCACACTGGGAATTACTGTGGAAATTCCCATCTACCCTTCCACTTCCTTGGCACACTAAGTTCAGGAATTCTGCCTGCCAAGCACAGGGAGTCACGGGCTGGAGCAGCTTCCCTTCAGGGTGATTAACAAATCCTCCAGGAACAGTGACAACAGCTCCACAGAACTGCCGGGTTAGGAAAGCACCAAAGGATGGGGAGCTGGGCTGCCCTGTGAGAACTCAGAGCACTCCCACCTGTACCTTTGTGCTAGAAGATGGATTTTGGTTTTCCTTCTAAGGGCAGGCTCCTTGTGCAGGGCTGCTTTCCCAGCTCTGTGCAGCCTCCCTGGAGTGCAGGCTCTGCACAGCTCCCAGCACTCACCTTCACATACTGGCGCAGGAAAAAGGGGCTCATGTCAGGGGGAGAGGAAGTGGTGTGAGGCTTCAGGAGCTGGCTGGTGGCCACAGGCTCCTCATCGTTCTGCTGGCTCTTCCAGTACTCCAGCAGGGACTTGAGCACGTGTAGACAGTAATCAACAGCACCAGAGCTCAGCAAGGCAGCTGCTGTGGCACTGGAGATCAGGGAGGAAGCCTGGAACAGAGGGAAGGAGCTGGATCAGGAACACACCTGGGAACCTGCAGTGGGGAGAGCTGGGGCAGCCCTGAGCACCTGCTGACAACGTGGGCAAGAGAGCAGGTTTGAATGAAACTTTGCAGGCAGCTTTTAAGTTTGGGGTTTGTTTGAGGTTGGGGGTTTTTTGGGTTTTTTTTGTGTTTATGAAAAGCAACTCAAATATTTACAGAGACTCTTTTGAACAAGTGCTTAGTAAAGGAAAACAAATAAAATCTCCTCTTAAGTCTAATCTCCCCTCGACACATGTGCCAGAGGCCACTCTGCTGTGGATTAGACGACTAGGGCTTTTTTCCCTTCTTTTTTTTCCCCCCTCTTTCTTTTTTTTAAGTTGGGATTTCTATTTGTTTATCTGGGATTTGGCCAGCTGGGCATGAATCCTGGTAGAGAAAGAGTCCCTGTTGCAGCTGCCTCTCACACGCTCTGCTCCACCCAGGTATTGCTCCACCTGCATTCTGCAAGACGAGGAGCTTTGATTTCTGTGGGAAGCTCAAGTGAGTAACAAAGGCTGGAGAAAAAGCTACTGTAAATAAAACTATTAAAGCAGCCCTGTAAATCCAAACAAACCCCACAGCTCATAAGCTCATTAAAATTTGATGCAGTTCAGACTAAATTTTTTAACCTCTATGCTTTTTTATTAATCTCCTTCCCACCACACATACTGCTTTTTATGCCTTATTACTGTACCTTTTAGCAACAAATATCTAAGGAATCCTCTTAGCGACTTTTACGTTGACACAGCAGCATATTGCTTTCCAATAATCACATTACAAATCCTCTTTAACCCCTTCAGCACTGGTGAGATGCAAGGGAGAAATCTGCCAGACCGTTTTAAGTAACATCATTGATGTGCTGCCCTGAGCTCAGTCTGGAGCCGTGCACAAAACAAGAGCATCCAATTGTCTTTACACGGCTGCTTCCTCCAGTCCCACTTTCAAAACTCTTTTTCCACCTGAGTTCAGTAAAATTACAGGTTCCCTGTAAATTTTTCCAAAGCCCTCTCAAGGATTTCTCAGTTTTACACCTGGTATTTCAGTTAGCAGCTTTCAGATCGTCTTTGATGAACAAAAGCCCCTCAAGCACATCATGGAATCTCAGAATGGTTTGGGTTGGAAAGGACCTTGAAGTTCAACCCATTCCACCCTGTGCCATGGGCAGGGACACCTTCCATTGTTCCACATTGCTCCAAGCCCTGTCCAACCTGGCCTTGGACACTTCCAGCTTCTCTGGGCAATCTCCACCCTCACAGGGAAGAATTTCTTCCCTATATCTGACCAAAATTTCCCCACTTGCAGTCTGACCCTTCCCCCTTGTCCTGTCACTCCGGCTCCTGATGAACAGTCCCTCTCTGGCTTCCCTGTATCCCCTTCAGACCCTGGAAGGTGTTGTGGGGTCTCCACACAACCTTCTCCTCTCCAGGCTGAACATTCCCAGCTCCCCCAGCCTGTCTCTAATAGGGGAGGTGCTCCAGTCCCCTGAGCAACCCCGTGGCCTCCTCTGCAGGTGCTCCAACAATTCCTTGTGTTCTCATGTTGAGAACACCAGAACTGTGTGCAGAGCTTCACGTGGGGTCTTGTGAGAGCTGAGTAGAGGAGGAGAAAACCACTCCCTAACAAAGCAATTAGGACAATGTACCTCACAAATGGAAGTCTTGGATCCTGACTTGGTTCTGGACATGAAGACACTGAGCAGCCTCATCACTACCAAGTGCACCTCGTTCACGGGGGAGCGCTCGTTTTTCTTGGACACATCCTGCAAGAAAAGACACATCCTGCTTGTTCAATCCCAGAGCTGAGCGGTGTCCCAGGCCTCTCAGGTTCAGTGCTCTGATCCTCAGGAAGCATTTCTAATTTAAGCTCAAGCACTAAGACTAAAAAAGCAGCACAAATGCCTTAATAGAAGGGTAGGCAGTGGCCTGGCTGCCAGAGAACAGTCCCACACAAATGAAAAGCTACATATGTCAATCATGCATTTACTGATCATGGCTCTTCTCAGAGTTTAATTCCAGCAAAACAAATTTTCATGCTCACTTGTGGATGCCAGACCCAAGAAACAGTGGGAGTTCCACTCATGTCATTTTCTACCTTACATGAAAGGAGGCAAGAGGAATAAACAGCCTGAACACATCCACACAGCAATGTTTCTGTAACTCCCAAGCATTTAATTCCTCCATGGAAAGAAATTCTGTCTAGAAGGAACAAATTCAGAATATGAGCTCACACTGCACTTTACCTTTTTGTCCATGCCCAGCTCTGCAATCAGCTGGGACAGAAGGTTATCCAAAGCTCCCTTGTCTTTCTCATCATCTCCATCCAGGTCTGTTGTGAGCATCAGAATAACCTGAGAAGAGCAGTAAAAGAATCATTAGAGAACAGGTCCCACATTTTCAAGATAACTATCTTCCACAAAACAACACTGATTTTATCTTGATTTATCTGTGTTCTTTCCCAAATCCAGCCTGTGCCTCACATCCTAACATGAACATTCAGCATAAACCCACAAGACCTTCCCATACACATTGGAGCCCTCAGGCTCCTCAATCAGCTGCAAAGTCACACTGAGAAAGGGCACAAGTCCAGCAAAAACCCATGGGTAAGGAATGCTGTGCAACAGATGGGCTCATACTGTGACTGGGCAGGAAGGAGAAAAGCAAATGGAAACCAGTGATTGAACAGTTTCATTTGGAATTAACTCTGAGCCCTCCCCACTCACCTGCATGTAGGGGATGGCCCGGACCCCCCCCACGTTCCTCAGCTGGGGTAAATTCTGCAGCAGCCTCTCCAGCAGCATCAGCCGGACCATGTGCAGCCTGGGGATCCAGAGAGTGATCAGACACAGCCCAGAACGCAGCACAGCCAGCAGGCTCTCCAAGAGAGCACTGCAACCTGCCCCAGAAACCCTAAGCCATCCCATCCTCCCAGGGAGGAGAGGACTCGCTCAGACTTCACGGGGAGCCATGCCGAAGATGCAGAGCACCTCTGACAACAGAGCCACACTGCCTGGCCTGGCCACCTGGGGACTGCAACTGCATGGAAACATCCTGCAATTCAGCTCCACACTGCTCTGACAAGGGACTGAGCACCTGCTCCCACAGAATGAAAAGCTGCCCATGTTCCAAATGGACTCCTGCACACACTCTTGTCTTAACAGTGAATTTCCCAGGCTCCCAAGATTTTGGTGATTCCCTGTTTACTAGACTCATGCAGGACTTTTTCATCATTTCCTAGAGGCAGCAGTTTTGTGGGACACACACTGGGTCCCACCACACCACATGATGATTGCAGAGAGGGTGCACTGAGCAGGGTCCCCAGGGAATGGGCATGGCCCCGAGGCTGCCAGAGCTCCAGGAGCATTTGGATTCAGAGGGTGGGAATGCTGAGGTGTCTGTGCAGGGCCAAAGGTTGGACTGGATGATATTTGTGGGTCCCTTCCACCTCAGGACATTCCATGATTTTGCAACGGCAGTTTGCTCTAGTCTGTGTTTCTGACATCCCCCTTTTGTTACCCAGCAGCTGCAAATTGCACTCGTGGAGCTGCAGCACCCACAGCCCCCTGCTCTGCACACATCCCCCAGAGCACAGCTGTTATTCCTCAAGAGGAAACAAAGCCTCTTGCCTGTTGCTGGTGTGGACATCCCCCTCTGCCTCCCCTTCCCCCTCGGAGCCCTCTCCCTCCTGCTGGCCCGTGGTGGTGCTGATGGCTCCAGTGCTGGAGCTGATGCTGCCCGGCCCCGCGGGGTGGCCCTCGGCTGTGGTGTCCCCGTAGGCACTGCTCCGGCCAGACACTGGGAAAGGAGAACAGGAAAACAGGAAAACACAACATCAGCAACTCAGCAAGCACTCTGCCTGCTTCGTCCACCATCACAGCTGAGCTGCACTTTGGAATCCAGGTTCAAATGAGATGCTGGCTTTGGTTCTCTTCTTAAAGCTACAAGAGAAGCTGAAGATGTGTTTGCAGAAATCTTTTTTTTTGCCACCCTCATCTTCGTGGCCCAAACTGAACTGGTCCCCCAGCAATAATTCAGACTCAGTCAGACAATACTTGGATGGGCAGTGCAGACAATCAGACAATATTTTTAGTAAGAGTCTGTGATTATTTTACCTGGATATCAGCCCCCAACTAAAAGGAGAGGAATTAATCCTATCTCATCCAAACTTAACCAGCAGCACAGTGCATTGTCTCAGTCTTGCTCTGGGCATTCTGAGAGGCAAAGGCTCCAGGCAGACGTTGTTGTGGCCTCCCAGTACCTAACAGAGTACTGGGTACTTATGGTACTTATGAAAAGGAGGTAGAGGGACTTGTTATATGGGGAGAGAGTGACAAGATCAGGGGCAGGGGCTTTAAGCTGAACAAGGGCAGGGTTAGATGGGATATTAGGAAGAAATTCTTTACTCAGAGGATGATGAAGCCCTGGCACAGGTTGCCCAGAGAGGCTGTGGCTGCCCCACCCCTGTAAGTGTCCAAGGGCAGGTTGGATGCACCCGGGATTGTGGAAGGTGTCCCTGCCTTGGGGCTAGTACAGGATCATCTCTAAGGTCCCTTCCCACCCAAACCATTCTGGGGTTCAATGATTGTTATTACAGCCCAGCAAAATCTGCTGCAGACAACCAGGAAAAGCAGCCAATATTCCATCTGTGAGCACTCAGGCAGAACTCACGAAATGATGGATGGCAGCAGCCACTGGGAACTGAGATTTCCTCTGTGCCAGGAATCACCCACACACTCCCATGGTGGGCAAGGCTGTGGCAGCAGGGAGGGAGCAGGAGTAATGCAGGGAGGGAGTAGGGGTGCAGCAGAGAGGGAGCAGAGGTGCACCACGGGTGCAGCAGAAGGGAGCAAGGGTGATGCAGGGGATGCAGTGGTGTGCAGCAGGAGTGCAACAGAAGGAAGCAGGGGTGCAGCAGGGAGGGATCAGAGGTACAGCAGAGGTGCAGCAGGGGATGCAGCAGAGAGAGAGCAGGGGTGCAGCAGGGGTACAACAGGGAGGGAGCAGCAGTGATACAGGGGTGCAGCAGAAGGAGCAGGGGGGCAGCAGGGGGGCAGCAGGGGGGCAGCAGGGCTCACTCACCGCTGTGCTCCCCGGCCACCGAGTCCACGGCGCTGCCGCCGCTCTCCGAGCCCACGCTGCCGCCGTGCTCCGCGGGCGATGTCCGCAGCGTGGAGCCGTCCGTGGCCGCCGTGCTGCCCTCGTCGTCGGACGCTGGAGCTAAGAGAATAAAGAGAGCTGTTACAAGTAAAAACACTGCCTGGGAACAACTGCAAACGACGCTCACGCTACGAGGGAAAGGCTGCAGGGATGGGACTTGGAGTTAGGGGACAGCTACAAACGGAAAGGGAGTTTGGGGGTGAGCAGCAGGACAATCAAGGCTGCTGAAAGCAGTGGAGGGAGGACACCCCGAGAGGAAAGCTCCTCATCAAACACACCGGCATGCACAGTTACTTAAAGAACAATGGCTGGTTGCTTATAAATGCAAGAGAAATACAGCACATGTTCTGTTTAGTCTGCCTTAGTCTAAGGAGAGGAAATAACTTCCTCAGAAGTCTACTGTGAGAGTCAATCAAAGCAGGAAAAAGCTGCAAGTACACTCTCAAAAATACAAGAAGCCAATAATAATAACTGGCTCTTCCAAACCATATTTGTAAACCAATTTTAAGGCATTAGGTCAAAATCTGAAAAAGATGATGCCTTGCAGTGAACAGTTACCTGATGCTGTTGTGTCCGAGAGGGTTCCAGCATCGAGGGAGGAGGAGCTGGGAGCTTGGCCAGACAGTCCTAAGCTCTGCAATCCAAGGGCACTGCTGCTGCTCCCTGCAAGAAGAGAACAACTTATGAGCATCTTTCTTTGAGAGAATGAAGTTAACTCGGGCATTTTCTGTACATTCCATAGTTCTGCTATCTTTGGTTTATTGGTGATGACACCAACAGCTTTGCCTCATTTCTTTCCCAGTTTTCATCCCCTTTTTGCTTCCCAACAGTGCCCACATCTGACCTTGCTGATCTTGTTGCAGGCTCAGGGCAATAGCCAACTCCACCATTGTCTCATCATCTGCATCTGGAGGGATATCCAGCATGGGAGGGAATCCCTCTGCTCCAGCCAGGAGAGCCTCCAGAGGAGAAGGGTTCCCATTATTCACGTTCTCAGAAGTCTCCAGAACCATGGATTCAGACTATGGAGAGGAAACACAGTGAGAGCTTTCCCCAGACCACCAGCAGTAAGGGAGCACTACAAGCAGGTTCATCAGAGCTAAACTCAAGTCCTGGCACACTTCAGAGGCTGCAAGGAGAAGCTCTGGACTCACCACCATCTCAAAGTCCCCGTGATCCACCTCGCTCTGCTCCTGGCTCTCCTGGCGGATGTGCTCTCCATTTGCTATCCCCGAGCTCTGCAGCTTGTCTTCTGCATCGTCATCATCATCATCATCCTTATCTCCTGAGTGGCAAAGCAGGAGTTCATAAATGCACAGCTCCTCAAGCCAACCCAAACAAGGCAGTTAATGCAGAGAAAATACCCAAGCTACCCTCAGTTCTCAAGAGACTTCCTGACACCTACAATTTGCTTCAATATTGAAAAACCTCTCTCAGATGGAGCTCTGGTAATTTTGATCTGCACACACCTTTGACTGATTTATTAGAACCTGAAAACATGCATAGAAATAACAACTCTAGATTACTACTCTCTAGATAAAATGATCAGATTTTCCTGTCATTGAAAGGGGAATATCTGAGAGAGATCTCCTTTTTGAATCCCAAAATATCACCGAAAAGGTGAGAGTTTATTAAATAAAAAGGGGTTTAGGGGGTAAGGGAGAGCAAAAGAAAGGAAAAAAAAAAGCCGATTTTAGTCTTTTTTAGTCCCAATCTATAACATTTGATTTTCTTGTCCTTTCTGACCAATCAAACAGGTTTTGACTGGTTTAAGGCATGGCATACCCATGGGAGTGTTGCTGCGGGGGGACGATGGCAGCGTCACGTGTCGCCGCTTGTTCCGGGGTCTCAGCACCCTGATCAGAGCTTGCTTGCAGGAAAAGCTTACTGCTGGGTCCTGCAGGGTTAACAGCCCATCATTACACTCCTGAAGCTCTAAGTTCTTATTCACAGCATTTGGACAGATGGCTAAAAATACACTTGTGACTCTTGCTGGTCATGTAGGACACGAGTCACTGCCTCAACTCCCTGCTTCCCTCAGGAGCCACAAAGCAACACTTGTACTTCCACATGACAAACATTACTAGAACACAAGGAGAGAGAGAATTCTCCTTCATTCACTCCGGCTGGGTGTTTCTGGCTGTATTTTGTGTCTGTACTATGAATTCACATTCTACGCACATTTAATTTTTTTCCCCCTTACAGAATCACAGAAACATTCAGGTTGAAAAAGCCCTCTGAGATCAAGTCCAACCATAAACCATAAACCAAACACTGCCAATCCCCCTAACCCATGTCCCCAAGTGCCACATCTACACTTTTAAATCCCTCCAGGGGTTGGGACTCAACCATTGCTCTGGGCAGCCTGTGGCAGGCTGGAACACCCTTTCCATGAAGAAATACTTCCCGATGTCCAACCTAAACCTCCCCATGTGCAATTAGAGGCTGAGGCAGAGCAGAGCAAGGTGACATACTGGGCAAAGTAACATCTGCATGTAGATCTTGGATGCAGTATGGATGCAGTCCAGCTCACACGTGCAGTATCCATGGATAATATCCACCAAAGCATTGACTGTGGCTTCAACGTGAGTGAGACCTAAGAGGCATAAAAGCAGGACTGAAATCAGCTCTCTCTGTATTTCAGCACACAGTGAGGCACTGCAGGAAGCATCTTTTGTTTGCAGACTTCAAGGCACAATGTTAACAGCACAAATATATTGATTTTCAATCCAGACTGAGCCAGTCTTGTCTGTCTGATAGAATATTGTGAACTCCACACACCAGCACCACTGAATATCCTGTACCACCACCCACGAAGCCAAATGTGGGTAAATCTATCATCAGTCCCTTTTTCCTGGCAAAATACACGTGGCCCTGACCAAAAGCTTCAGAGCAGAATCTGCAGCTCCACGTCACAAAGCCCTCAGTGCAGCACTAGCATTGAATAAGTCATTTTCTGTGCTTACAAACTTAAAACAGGCCCCTTGAGAAGCCAGAGGCTTGCCAATAGCAAAGGAAGAGCTCTCTCACCTGGCAGGCAGGCAGGGGCCAGGAAGGCATTTTTGGGTTTTGATGCATGGAGCTTCCAGAAGTGGTTCACCAGCTGGGTAATGAAGGTGCAGCCCTCTCCTTCCGTGTGTTTCTGGGCCTCCTGCCCTTCTTCACTCTCTGCACAGATTAAAAAACACCTCTCAGAAATGTGCAGGGGAAAACCTTGATGAGGGTAACACCAAGTTTATATGAAATGGCTTTTTTCAGAGGCTTTGATGTTCTCATCAGCAGGATATCACACACCTACCAAATGTGTCAAATACAGTCCCTGCCACTCTGAACCCAACACCCCAGCACAGCTTCAATTATCACAACAGAAATTTAGAGAAAATTACAGACTTATCTACCTGTTTCCAGCTGTGGCAGCTTTGATTCTGTGTAGTGGACCAGATTGTTGGGTCTCATAATAGCAATGGATCGAGCAGTGATGACCAATCTCTGGAACACCTCAGGATCAAGGTCTTTTCCTTCTTTGGTTGAGGAAGTCAAATACTGAATGGCTTTGCTTAGCAGTGCTTGATCCTGTAGAGTGAAAGATAACACAGACAAAGAAAAACAACTGACTGCAGCACAAGAAAGCAGCTGAAGTACAGCCACAGGACAGACAGATCCCGGGGAAATCCAGCACTCAGCTAAGGAAGGACAAGCAATCCTAAATGTCACAGAATCACACAACTCTGCTGAAACACAAAAGTCAGCAGGGCAGGCAGCAGAAGCTAAAGGGAAGTGAGACAGGAGGTTTGTTTTGCATGGAGGAAGGGCTCTCTAGGTCTGTGCTGCACCTCAGCCATGACCTGGCAGGTTCCAGGAGCCCCCAGATCCATCCCTGGGCAGTACCTTGTGGTTGTGGTAGGCTGAACGGCTGGTGTGCAGGCTGGCCAGGAGGCTCTTGGTCTGCTGCTGCACGCTGGAAGGGGCTGGCATGGACAGCAGCACTGTAGCCAGTTCCTGAGCTGCAATCTTATTCTTCTCCTAAGAACACACAAACCCCATAATTCAGTATATTTACCATCACTCAGTGTACCTGCAGCTCCCTTCCCTCAATACCCTTTTGATAGCCTCCCTCCATTTACTATTTGACATTTAGGGAACATTTCACATGTCTACATAAGAAAAGTCCTTTTGGGATTTACGGGCTCCTACCCTGCTGTTTCTGTAAACGAGGTCACTCAAAGCACAAAAAGCCCACCAGCGCTAAATGCAAATGCCAATTGTCATTCTAAACTAGTTTCAAACGCTTTTGGCTAAGGCAACTTTCAGATCAGTGCTCTGAGCAAAAGGGATGGCTCTGCTCCTATCAGGCCCCCGGGGCTGCAGGAGGTAGTGCTGAGCTCGCCCCTCCTCCCCCAGCTCCAAAGCTCAGGAATGTATTCAGAAAGTTACTTGCCTTCTCGTTGACTGGTCCCACAGCAAAGCAGCTTTCCAGCGCTTCTAAAGAACTCACTACTAGCCTGGAGGGAGAGAGGAAAGCAGGCTTGAGTACAGCAACCCTTCTCTCTCCTTAGCACTTTGCTTTATGCGGGCTACAGTCATGAGTAGCTCAGAGACAGCTAACGAATGCCAAGTACAAAATCAAAGCATGATAAAACCTGCCACAGGCACCATGCATATCATTTCATTGTGTTACAGACCAGAGTTAAACCTGGCTCACGCTCACAGACAAACTTAGGACTGCTTTAATAATCCACAGCTGAAAGACAGGGGCTTTTCTCTCCCAAAGAGGATAAAACATTTCCTTACGCAGCCTGCAGCAGGGATAACTTGGATTGTCTTGACAGTCCCAATTCACCATGGCCCCCAGACGTACAGATGACTGCAGATCAAGGCTGGCTATGACACATGGGAAAAAGCGGAACCGACTTTGCCAAGGGAGCAACGTTCTACTCGCTTGCTATTTCCACACAAGGTTGCTCTTTCCAATTTGGAGTTTCAGCACAAAATACTCCAGAGGAAAATTAACTCAGAGCACTGGGTGTGACCCCGAGAGAGGGATGCTGGGGTTCAAGCAGGCTGGGGAAACACTTGTTCCGAGGGAAAACCTGATTTACAAGTGGCAGCAAAGTCCCTGTAGCAGCACTCCATGCCCCCAGGTAGAACTACCTGAGATGCCAGCTGACACACCAGAAGGAGCAGGAAGATACAGGAAAAAGCAGGGAAGAGAGAGCATTAAGGGGAAAAATAACACTGCAGGATTGGAAGGTAGAAGGAACAATTGCCTGGGCTGGTGGTGATAAGTAACACCCCACTCCCCACAGCCACCCTCATAAAGCTTGGAGGGAACAGAAGTGGGACAAGAAGGCACAAGGAAGGAACAAAGCAGAGAGGAGTCTGTCAAATAAGCAACAGTTACGCTGTGTACAGCAAAAATCTGCAAACAACCTCATCTTTACATTTGCTAAACCATCTGCCATGCAATGACCAGAATGTAAAGAAGCAAATGTCACTTGGAAAACAAAAAAACCCCAGTCACCAAAAGCCACACCATGTGTTCTGTCTCTCTGACACACACTCATTCGTGCAGAGAAAAGGATGCCATACTAACCGGTCCAGGGTGGTTAGGGACTCAGTGTCAGAACTTTGGGGGAGCAAAGAAAAAGGAAAAAAAAATAAAAATGTGTAAAGCTCACAGAAAAACTCCCTAGAACACATTCTAAGCAAAAGGCAAATTAAATGGGGAAATCGGGAAGCCAGGGGAGCGTCAGTCTAAGCAGGGTTTTTCTACCTGGGCAGCACACACTGGTCTGGAGCAAAACAAAGACAGAGATGAGCCAGGTCACCTCACACAGAGAAGCCAAGCACCACTTAAAGCATCACCCAGGCTTAAATTCGAGTGCAGACACCACACTTGGATAGAAAAGCTGCCTCCTGCCTGCCATTAGCTGCTCCTACTCCAGAGACCATTCAGAAGGTAGCACCAAATAGGAAGAATAATTTTTTTATATCCGAATTTTTAGAATATAATCCCACTGCTCTGGAAAACCAGAGAACATGTCTGTGCTGAGAGGGACATCTTGTGGGGATGTCACAGCAGAGGAGGGAAGAAAAGGGAAAATAAACACAAGAAAAAAATCCCATGAACTATAAGACAAAATATTAGATGGCTGAAGAGGTCCTTCAACTAGGCCTAACTGGCACTTCAAGCCCTAAGCCTTTATCTGAGAATTTCAGTCAGACAAACTTAACCAGCACTTCCTCACAGCTGAGCAGTGCATGTATCCTCTGAAATGCCCATCTTTCAGCAGCACCAGTTCCTCTTTGAGCTGTTTCCCTCCTGTCCTTGCTGCTTTTATAGCCCTTATGATACAGACTGTATGACATCAAAGAAAAACACAGTGTGGACATAAGAAAGAACACAAGTTCTGTTTATACACTAAATTTATGTCCAGGTCAGCCTTGGGGTTTGGCTCTCAGCAGGAATATGGGGGAAAACCCAACACTTCCCCAGCACAACAGCTCAGCCTGAGGCACCTGGGCTACAAGGCAAGTTGGTGGGAGCCATGAGTCTAATTCAGGGCCACACACAAAGCCCTTCTCAAAACTGAGCTTAACTTCAGAGAGGCCTGACCTTTGTGAGCTCCAGAGACCAAAAAAGGGCCAGCTTGAAATGAGACAATATACCAAGGCAGCAGAAATTGCTTTGAGCTCCTCGAGACTGCTCAAACATGAACTAGGCAGCACAAGCAAGCACACAGATCAACCCATCTACTGCCCCAGGTCAAACAAGAGCCACCACAACCTCTCCTACAAGATAATCACTGCTTACAGTTGTTGCTGTGTAAGGCAGTGAGAACAACTCACTTCCCTGCAGTTCTCCAGGTTAGGAAAAGCACACAAGTGCCACAACAACAACCCATTTCCAAGGAGAAATAAGGGAAAGACTGTGGAAATACCTTTCCAGGACAGTCCCACTGGCAGCAGCAGGGGCAGCTGACTCGGTGTCCCCAGTGCCATTCCCTTGGTTGAGGTTTGGGGGACAAACGTTGCTCACAGAAGCAGATGGGAAGTCCTCGGGGGGCTCATCAGGCCAGCCAAACTGCTCTTTGGTTTTGCCATAAATTTTTATGGAATCCATCATGGTGACTCCAGCAGGATCCACAGAAGCCCCAACTGTAGCAATGAGAGAAATTTCTTAAAAACTGAGAAAACTGTTGCTTTTGGATACAAGCCAGTCTCGTTTCACAGGGCCAGGACAGCAATTACACTGTCATTAATACACAGCCCCTGACAGTGCAATCTCCTTTGCAAGGAGATTTTCCTTCTCTTGCCTCAGCATAAAATCATTGAGCTAAACTAAACTAAACATTCACTCACAGCAGCAATAAATAACTGTAATATTTGGTTATATATATATATCATGACCATAAATAAAGTTATCAAAGTTCAGGGTTCCCCCCTCAGACTGTTTTTGCAATCAGGGCAAACGAACAGATGGTGGGAACTCCCTGCTGTGAGGTGAAGCAGCTTCATCCCACCCAAACCAACCCAGCAGCTGGTCAGAGGCAGCAGGGCACAGAGCCTTACTGAAGATGGTGAGTTTCTTGTCAGCCTGCAGGGCCTCCTCCCGGGTGAAGGGGAAGTCGAACCAGCGGGCACGGGTCATGTTGAGCTGCATGGTGCGCCCGAAGATCTCCAGGTAGGAGGGAGCTCTCTCGATGGCCTGGGTGCCGATCTGGATCCGCATGCCCGTCATCACCATCGTGCTGTTGTTGTTGGTCACTTCAATGGTGAAACCCCCAGGCTGCAGAGAACAATTCACAGCTCAAAAATTCCATCTGAAGCCAAGGACTCTGGACAGAGGTGCCTCCACTATTTAGTGAATTACAGTATTTGTGGGGGTAATTTGAACGAAGCAGACTCATTAAGGCAAGGCATGGTATCGACATGAACAATAACATCACCTGGAAGCCCAGAGTCCCCAGACTGCCCCACTCACCTTTGTGTTGGCCACGTACATGCCCGTGGAATTGAGGCGGTGCTTTATCTGCTGGGCATTGTACACCTGCAGCAGGTCATTGCCTCCAAACTCCACATCTGTGAGCTGCTGGTTGTGCTCAAAGAAGTCAATGGGGAAGTTCACCTGGCTGGATGTGCGAGTTGCTAGAAAGGGAAAAAGATCTTTATGACAAAAGACGTTTGAAACAGGGGAAAGCTGTGGTAAAAAACCTGCAAAACAACTCGCCTCCTTTGGAAAGCATTTCTTTATAAATCTATAGAAACATTTTACCCACTTAGCCAGTACTTAGGTCATTGTCAGAATGAATGTTGTAAGTATTTAGATGATGTTAATCAATCTCTGCCTCTCCATTGTTACAAAGGTCATGTGAGGAGCCCTTACTGATGGCGGCTGCCTTGCGCTTGCGGACGGGTTTCATGATGCTGATGACACTGCTGGGCTGCAGGGACGGCTGCAGCCAGTAGGACGTGTTCTCCACGTTGGCCATGTAGATCCTCAGGCTGCCATCCTCACACAGCAGGATCATGGTGGTCCTCTGCTGCTCGTTGCAGGCTGTGTGACGGATGGCCACCATGTCCTGGATCTGCAAGGCAAGGCAAGGCAAGGGCTTGGCAACTCTTGCTTGGAGGAACAAACTCTCTGTATTAGAAAAGCTGCCAAGACTAGAGATCTGCTCGATAGAACAACAAGAAATCAAAATACAGAGAACTCTAACTAACCTTTGCTTTGGCTGGCAAGGTCTTAATCTCCTGGATGAGGAAAGTGTCTGGCTTCACCATCACCACCAGTGGGACACCCGTGGTCTGCTGGACACAGCACACCAGGCCAGGGTGGTTCATCACCTCAGACCACTGACACAGGGCTGGAGAAGTCTTACTGCCACCATTGGAACTGCAAAAGACAAAGGACACAATGACATTCATTTAAGGAGCAGCACAAGCAAAACCACACAAATTTCACTGTGTTCAAATCAGTTAAAGCTTTGTCCTTGAGCAGGGACTCAAACACTGCATCGATGAACAGTGTCTGGTTTACAGGTGAGAAACGTGACACAGTCACCAGAGTGGGCAGAAGACACGAGCATCCCAGTCCTCAGCCCTGATCCCTACCCTGCAAACACGAGGAAAAACTAGCTTAGTGCTGCATTCTATGCCCCAAATCCAAGAGGTAATTTATAAATGGCTTTCAGCAATGTTTTTATCTGAATGGATGAACAGTTCCACATTTCAACACACCTAGCAGGAATAAGCAGAGACCAATGCAGGAGAATCAGTGTCTGTTCACTGGAAAAAGTGGAAACAGAGCTGCAAAAGGACTAAGCCAAACTCAACTGGAGTTCAGGAGCTCTGGGAACCTGACCCTCCTTCAGAGCTCACTCGTGACAGTGGCTTTGTGTCAAGCCAGTGCAGAGTCTGGCCTGAGTGCCCAGCACTGGGTATCAGAAAACACAACAGAACTGTCTTTTCCTTGCCACATTCACAGAGTAAGAGATTGGTTTCCCCCAAGGGAGTCTGAAAATCAGCCTGAACATGCACAATGCACAAGGTGCACTGCAGCAGTGGTGCTGAAAGGAAACAAAGGCTTCCTGCTCGGCTGCCCCGGCGAGGGCCGATAATCCCATCGGTTCCAGCACCTCCAGGAGCTCCCTCTGTGCAGCTCCACTGCTCTGCACACACCTTTCTGCTCTGAAACCCTGCTGGGAGGACAAAAGGCATGCATGGCCCACTGCTGAAACAGTCAGCTTTGGTTTCTGATCATCCTGCAACTGGGATATCACAGAACTCCTGAGCTGGAAGGAACCCACAAGGATCATCCAAGTCCATTAAGGCAGAAGGACCATGAAAAGTAGCAAAAAATCATCAGCCAACAGGGAATTTTCACCACAAGGTTTGGCCATTCAGATCCAGGATGTTAAACAATTAGTTATATTTATTACAAGAAGAAGGAATAAAAATACAGAGAGTGTCCCCCAGGATCCTCACCTCTTGATGTTAATTGGGAAGAGCCGCTGCACTTCCAGGCTGGCCCGGCTGATGGTGGCTGCGAAGGATTTGCCTTGGCAGTAGCTGAAGAACAACATCTGCAGCACGTGGGAGTAATAGACTGACACCCCCCCTCCTGCCACCTGGCCATTGCTGTCCTGGGGGATCCAGAGAAATGCCAACATTTAACATAAACACAAATATCCCCAAACACTCTGTCAGGCTTTTAAATTTACGATGGAATTATTCCCAAAGCCGCCCCTCCTCCCCAGCAGTGAGAGAACAGAGCCCTAAATGACAATTTTCTAAGCTGAACTCCTGGGTGAACTCATCCATCAGACACTTCAAAGGCTCTGGGAGGGGATGCTGAGCCTGCACACCCGGAGGCTGTAGGTAACACCCTGAGCTCCTGCAGCTGTGAGCCTCAGCGCTGTGTGACAGTGTCACATGGAGCATTCCCTGCATGCCCAGCTCATAAAAGCTCTTCCTGAGGGCCTCCTTCCCATCTATTCCTGTTTTGAAGCAGGATGGGGTAAAAAACACTGGAGAGATTTTAAAGGTCACCCTCAAGACTAGAAACAAAGGCTGACTGCAGCTCTCCAGCCCCAGCCATGGTGATTTATCCCTTCTGCTCCTGCACCTTTGGAGTGCCTTGCTCTGAGAACAGCACTGCTCTGAAGCCATCTCCCTGCTGAGAAATCCTGCTGGGCATGACTTCAGAGCCAGCCATGGAAAACATGCTCCATTTTCTAGATGAAAGGATCAAGGGGTTTAATTTTCACCCCCACCTCCTTTTACTGCAAGGATATTTCTCTCTTTAGAGGAATGAGAAAGCTCCTTGATCTAGATCAGGGGGCTTAAAAGGAAAAGGGGAAAAAAAAGAAGGAAACTTCTGCCTTCAAATGGAAGATACAAAAAAAGAGAGAAAGGGAAGTCACCAGCACCTTCAGATCCTCGTGGTTGACTTCAAGCACATTGGTGACATAGAAGGGCCCGTGCTGGGCACTGCTGGCCTCCTCCATGAGCTGTGTGTAGATGTAGCCAGCAGAGGACATGATCACAATGATGTTCTTCCCTTCCTCGTTGAACAGGAAAGTGACATCCCTGATTTTAGAACTCGGTAGGAGGAAGTAAAAAGTTGGACTCAAGGCATCTACTGAGAGGTCATAAATCTGTGAGAAGAACCAAGGAAATAATTAACTACAGTCATCAAGGCAGTAATTAATTGCTACAATACAAAACAGTGCAAATGAACAAGACCTGAGATGAGGGAATCCCTATGAGATGTTGCAGTTTGGGGCTGTTTTTCTCTTTGAATTCTTTGGGTTTGCTTTTCCTTGCAAAACAGTCCAAACATTCCAAATTTATATTTCCAATTTCTAAGAATATTATCACATTCTCCCACGTGTAACTCCCTGAGGATCCAGACTCTGATGTCTGGCAGAAGCTGTATCATCAATAGCTCATGGCCAGACATACCTTCACAAAGTCTGCAGTGACAATGGCCAGCTCTGTCTGAGATCCTGGCAACCACACGGCTTTGATGATGAAATTCCCAGTGGCCAGTTGGGGATGAAGCACCAAATGATCAGAGACTGATCCAGAGCTGCTGAATGTTAACACATGGCAATCCTAGAGTAATGAAGAAAATTGGTTAAATATTAAAAGAAAGTGTTTATCAATATTTGAAGCCAAGAATGGAATTGAAAGTCAGCATTTCTCTTATGGCACACAATGATTCAGAGAATCTAAATCTCAATTTCCTGCATTGAAGAGAAACGACACGAAGGTTTGAAAAGAAAAAATCTACAGAGAGTGGAGCTTTTCCTCAGCTAAGTACCATCTGTAGATTCTGCACTGGGAAAGCTGAATCTAAATTTAGGAGAACAGAAGAAAGAGGAGTCCTTGCCAAAGAACAAGAATTGTTACAGACTACTTTTAACACACTAAGTCTGACATGACTAAACCTTGGCTCTTGTCTTAAAACAAAATACACTAAGAAATACTACTTGAGGCACTGTCTCATTAATTACATTGCTCATACAGGTGCTGCTTCTTTTGCCTCATCTATCTAGTAGAAAAGTGAATCAGGAGCTGAATTAGTGACAGAACTTTGGAGGTAGCTGTGCATTAACTCCTCAGAGGAAACAAAGACAGCTGGCTTTGAGCTGATGTTTACAGCTCCCTGCAAAAGGGTTGGGCAGGCCCTTACCTTCAGCCCACACACAGCCAGGTAATCCTCCTTGCAGGGGTTCCCAGTCAGGCTCAGCACCGTGAATGGGACGGGGGCAGACGCCAGGCGGGTGAGGGTCAGTTTCCTTTTGCTGGAGTCTGCTTGTTTCAGCAGGGCTGAGAGCTGCAGCACTGTGATCTGCACCACAGAACAAACCCAGTTATCTGGCTGGAATGAGGGGAGCCAGGCACTTCAGATCCAGATCCCAGCTCCAGAATCAGAAGCACAGAATGAACTCAGTTATCTGACTTTGTATCTGAGGGGAGCCAGGCATTTCAATTCCAGTCCCCACAGTTACAGAATCAGAACCACAGAATCATCAAGGCTGGAAGGGATCCATGAGATCACTGAGTCCAACCATCACGCCAGCACCACCATAACCACCCCTAAACCACATCCCCAAGTGCCAGGTCCTGACACCTCTTGAACACCTCAGAGTGGGTGATTCCCCACCTCTCTGGGCAACTTATTCCAGTGCCAAACCACTCTTGCAGTCAAGTTTTTGTTTATAGTAACAAATCTGAACCTTCCTTGGCATACCTTAAGGCTACTTCCTCTTACCCTTTCACTGAGTCATGGACCCCACCTGACTCCAACCTCCTCTCCAGGAGCTGCAGTGAGGTGGGTGAGGGCAGGGAGTTGTTCTCACTGTTCCTGCTGTAGGAACTCTTTTCCCTGAAGAATTTTTCCTACAAGAGGTTCCCCTAAGCTACACAACACTTCATACAAGATCTCAGGATGGGCAGAACAAACCACAGTCCTGTCTGTTCCTCAGCATGTTTCTATTTCCCTGGGAACTCAGAGATCCAGCCCTGTTCAATTTCCCTTGGGAACCCAACACTGTTCCATTTTCCCAGGGAACCCAGTGCATCCAGTGCTGTTCCCCTTCCCTCAGGAGCCCAGCAGCTCCAGCACTGTTCCATTTCCCTCAGGAGC